AGAGGTGCTTGCTTTGAAGGGGACAACTTTTCCCACCAAATGCATCCTGTGGTACCAGGGGATGCAGACACATGTTGACTCCTTTAGCTTAGATGTGCAGACATTCCCACAATCCTACCATAAGCCCTTTATTCTCAACCCTGGATCTCTTCAGCTGCCTCCCAGCTGGGCTTCCCTGGCCTCCAGACCTCTGAAGCATCCTCTTCTGCCCTTTTCCCTAACATTGCACAAACCTGAATCCCTCTTGCTGCAGAGCCTTAGTTCTTACAGCTCACTCTGCCTAGGACTGCTAGTTCTCCCTACTCAGCCTTCAGGTCTAGCTGAACTGTCACAGCTTCGGGGAGGCATTTCATCTCCCAAATCCTGCATTACACATCTATGTTACAGCTTCTGTGGCAGTGGGTGCTCCTCCGTATCACTTGTTCAACTGTCTGCCTTCCCTACTCTCCTCCAAGTCCCACTCAAACAGAGACTGTCTCTGTTTTGTCACAGTGCATTCCAAATACTTAACTCATGTCTGTTATGGCATGAAAGCTCAATACACAATTTTTTAATCAGTGAGTGTGTATTTTGAGAATGGATGAACTTCTTTCTGCATTCTCTGTTGAGACAGAGTCATTCATCTGTCAGCTCAGTAAATATTTATTGATTGTCTGTAATATGCCAGTCACTGAAGAAACAAATATGAATAAGGCCCTGTCCCTACTTCTACCAGTTTTTGACCAGGGTTGTCTACCACCCACCTAGGGGCACTCCAAAATGTGTTCTTGTTGCTCTCACAATACTTGGGGGCACTACCAGCACGTAGTGGGCAGATCCCAAGGTCATTAAACATTTTCCAAGCAGGGATTCCTTACTGAGCTTACAGACGAACAGAGAAAAATAGACTCAAGTGTCAGTACACTGTCAGAGCAGCACACAGCCCCAGGACACATCAGCATTGCATCTTGGGCTCGATGTGGGAGGATCTTTTCTCAGTGTGCTTCATCCCCACTAAGCAGCTTTTAATTTAAATGAAATAATAAAACTAGAACTTAAAGTAACAAAATATATATTAGCTTATGGTGAAAATTACTAACTTCATTTTTATGAAAAATATTCCAAAAAGGTAAATGAAAATAATGGAAATGATACTTCAGTTCTTTTTCAAAGGACTTACCTCTTTGTTGAGGTAATGAAAACAATTACATAATGATTGTTGCATTTCTTTATCAATTTGTCTTTTGGGGAGAAAATATCAAGAGGGAAATATGTTTCCCCACAAAACTCATGTGAGAAGAAGAACAGAGTTTAGTGTTTAACTAGACCAGAGTTCCTCAATCTTTGCACTATTAACATTAGGGAAGAATAATTCTTTGTCATGGGAACTGTCCTGGGAATTGTAAGATGTCAAGCAGCATCCCTGGCCTCTACCCACCAGATGCCAGTAACACTCAAGTTCTGACAACCAAGATATTTCCAGACATTGCCAAATGTCCCTTGGGTAGGAAGGAGGAGTACAAAACTGCCCTGATTGAGAGTCCTGTATCATATGCTCATGGTCTATCAGGATTTAGCCACATTGGTGTCACAGGTGTGTAAAGTACAGTTTAACAATGTCCACAGGCATCAGGTGGACTCTGTCTTCTGATGGACAGAGGAGACCTCTGGAAGCTGCTCTATTACCATCAGGCAATTTCTTTCTAAAGACAGGTTGGCATTTGTGCCGCCTTGGTGCTGATTGCTCAAAGGAGAAACTACAGGAGCCTCAGGGATGAGGAAACAGTTTCTCTTTTTCATCTCTAGCAGAACTCCCAGGAGTGTGAGTAATGCTGTCACCTGAAGCAGCTCTGTAAGCCTCCAGAGACAGCTGCAGGAAATTACAGTGAATTGCAGGGAACTCTGATGCTGGAGAGAAAACAAAATGCTCTTCTTAAATTAAAAAGAAAACAGAAAGAAAAAAAACAAAAGATAATTTTGAAGCTAGCTTGATTTAACAAACACCCTTTGTACAGAAAATTTTAGACCAGTTTCAAGGGTGAGTGTCTGAGATCTGGTATGTCCCACTTGGCTACTCCATTTTAAGAATGATGTCACACTTGGGTCACCCTTTTCTCCACTGTTACACATTCATATTCCATTGCCACCCAGTCAGTCCCCTGTGTGAAGGTCCTTGCACTTTCTTCTCTCAAAAATCCCACTGGTGCTACACTCAGCTTCAAATTTTTCCTGCAGGAGGTAAGAAGAAGCATCAGTGTTTATAGAGGTGGAAACAAGATATCTTTTCCTGACTTTGCATGCAGCTTTGAGCATACACTGCACAGAGTCCTCAGGAAAGATCGGCTGTGGTGGGGAAAATCAAGCTCCACAGCTTTCTGGGGACTTGAACAAGATTGGCAATACTACCTCCCAAACAAGTCACTACCAGCTTTAACGCCCAACACACAGAAAGGGATAGGAAAGCAAATGTTGATAATTAGTTGAAATTTTTTAGAAAGATCACACAGTTTACTTACACCATTTTATCTAACTACAAAAAATAAAAAGAAACAATTGCTGATTTCATTGGTGGTTGTAGTTTCTTTTCTTTGTGTGCTTATGTTTTGCCACCACTACATTAAATGCTTTATACTGAATGTTTTATTTAATTTCCCCCAAAACCCTCTGTGGTTAATTGTGATAGCATACCCATTTTATAGATGAGGACATTGAGGCTTTGTGGGTTTAAAGAGCTTGTGCAAGATCCCAGAGGTCTTAGAACAGGGATTTAAGTCGGTTGTGTCTCTCTTAGGAGACTTAGCTCTTAAATACTATACCCTACAGCAGTGGCTCTCAAACTCTAGCATAAGTGGAATCACACAGGCTTCAGGATAACTCAAATCCCTTACTTCATGTCCTGGAGCAGCCTGGGAACTGGCATCTCTAACCAGTTCCCAGTGACATTGCTGAAGCTGCTGGTTCAAGGACCACCCTTTAAGAGCCCCTAATATTCCACATCCTATTTTCTAGAAAGTAGTGTAAGCATTGACTTTGGAAATCTTGAGTGAAAATGACTGAAGCTGTAATCCACCACTGACCTTAGACCTATGCACAAGCAGATAATAGCCATGGTGTTTCCAGAGCACCCCTTCTGAGAGAGAGGTAGTATCATGAGACATGGGTAATTGCCCCGTCGTAGGTTTTATCCTGGTATTCCCTTGGCTGCTGAACATTTCCAAGAACACAGTCACACTGCATCATTTAAAAAAAGAAATGTACCACTACATTCACTCCTACAAATAGGCCATTTTTGAAGTTCGGGAGTTTTCCGTTAGAATTACAGCATTTCTTTTTCAAATTGTCCTTAATTTATTTTCTTTTGATTCAGTAAGACCTAGTATATTCTGATTCTGTGTAAACACTGTGACCATTATGTTGGAAAATATGTTTAGAATGCTAATATAATGAGCACGTAGAGCAGATTTCCTGTTAAAAAAGGATTCACAGACCTTGGATCAGATCTTGTCTCCTATTAACAAATTCAGCCAAAACTCTCAGGCAATTTTATTGATAATAAAAAGAAATAAAAAATAGTAAAAGAAGAAATCTCATTTAAAAGTTTCTTTGAAAACAACAGGCACTTTGAGAACAGATTTTTGTGTTCTTTTTGCTGATTGAGTTTCACCTGAATTAAGATTCCAATGGTACATTTGAAACCTGAAATAAAGCTGATTTACTTGTTGATAATCTGTTCTGAAGCCTTCTGAGCTAGTTCAGGAGAAAGGCTTTGGGCACCTTACCCTTCTGCCACTTTATGGCAGAGATAACAGCACAGGTGTGAAAGTGCCAGTAAAATACAGACAATTGTCTTATAGGTGGATTCAGGACAACATAATAGGCTGAAATGGGCTGCAGTGCTTTCGCTATGAGAAATGTGAGTCTACCAGAATGAAATCAACACACATCCTACTGAAAAATAGACTGGTAGTATGTGCGACAATCCTCAGGATCCCCTTTCCAAATGCTTTGGGCACTATCAATTCCTGGGGGTGGGGGAGACTTTAAAAAAACATTAACTAGTGAGTTCATGGGTGGTGGAATAGCTTCTCCTGGTTTGAGTAGAGAATAAACTACCTATGCAGGTTTGTGCTGGCAGCAGCTGCTAGACATGTCCAGTGGCTGAATTTTCCAGAATCAAACCAAGGATTCTCTTATGAGCTTTTATGTTCAGCAAATAATAAGCAGGAGCTACCTGCTAGAGACCAAGAGCCCCTCCTTGTTTTCTTACAACTGACTGTTGCATTGAAATGAGCACAGTTCTAGGTGTCCAGGGACCTGCCTCCTGGCTGGCAACAACAGGCAAGTTGTCATTTTTTCGTAGACCTGCAAGTTTGGAGCAAAGGCAGGTTCTGGAGCCACACACACACTGTTGCTTTGAGACTGGTATCTTCATCTCCTGGCTCCAGTCCAACCAAGGAAACATTCAGGGCTGTTCCCCCAGGAGTGGGGTCCAAAGGGATGCTATGGAAGATTTCTTTTTCCTCCTGCATGGGTTGTTGCCCAGGGATATTTATCAATGTGAACAGAGCCAGACGCCAAGCACAGACCCTGCAGGGAAAAGTAAGGTGGTCCCCGAAGCAGATTAGGAGACTTAGCGGCGGGGTCCGGGGAGGGGGGGGCGGGAGAGATGTGCAAGCCAAGCGCGCTGAAATGCAGCTCTCCTCTCCGCCTGCAGAGTTGCTCCGCTTACTCCTCTGCCCAGCGCACTTGGGGAGCGCCAGGGGGAGTCCTCGCAGGCCAGGGCTTCCCGCGCCCCAGGAGCACCCGAGGGCTCGCCTGGCAGAGCTTAGCGCAGCTTGCTCGGGGCTGCCAGCGAGCGGGAGGGGTGGACACTGGGCTTGTGTGTGCCAGCCGCAGCCGTTGGTTGGCGGGCGCCCAATCCCGGGGCATGCGGCCGGAGCCTGGCCAGCTCACACCGTGTAAGGCTAGTTTGGTGGATGGCTGACCCCCGGCTACTAGCAGAAGCCGCTGTCTGAGCCCAGGTGCTAGGGTTGCTGTGATCTGCTCGCTCGGCTGCAGCCAGGGGAGCCGGGCACCCCGGGTTCTGAGGGAAGGAGGAGGCATGGCCTCGGTGTTCATGTGTGGAGTGGAGGACTTGCTGTTCAACGGCAGCCGCTTCGTGTGGAACCTGACCGTGTCCACGCTGCGGAGATGGTACACGGAGAGACTGCGGGCTTGCCACCAAGTGCTGCGGACGTGGTGTGGGCTGCGGGACGTGTACCAGGTAAGGCAAGGCACGCGGCGCCTGAAAGACTTGCAGGGTGCCAGGAGCTCTTGGGAAGCCAGTTCCACCTGTATGATTTTTTTCTGTCTCCCTCCACCTCTCTTAAACTCCTAGCGGGCTGCTTTACTCTTGGGTCAAATGCTGAGAAGCTATGGGTAACTGTTGCCCGATAAAGCTTGTGAATTTTTCCCACTGGGCAAAGGGGGCACTTGTGAGTTAGTCCCTGCATATGCAGACATCTGGTGTAGAGTGAGGGTGTGCTGGCTCACACTCAGCTAAGAAAGCTGTAGCTTTGCAGCACAGGGTCTGCAGGAAGCAACCTTGACAGTCAGATGATTCCTTCTTTTTTTTATTTCAGGGACAGTGATTTAAGGGAGCAGTCTAATCAGGGGGGCATTAATGAATTTGCGTTTTACCCCTTTCATTTTATTTAGTTTTCTATCAGGCACCCCCAACTTTTAAGGCAGAGCCAGGAAAAGCTGATTCTGTGTCTCCTGGCTTTGGGAAGGAAGGACTGAAAATTGTGAACATTTGCAGGAAGATGATGGACTGGGGAAGGGAGGGGTGGCCTGGCTGGCCTTTGAAATGCCTACGTTTGTATTTACTCCCTGTCACACAATACAGCCCCTTTATTTCTTTGCTAAGTCCCATCCTGCAGGCAATAAAAAGCAGCAACTTTATTCAACTAGGAGACACATCCTCTCTAGAACGACAGCTTCCCTGGGTTTTTGTGTTTCTTTTAAACAGTCATTTGTAGATTTAGAAGTCATGTGCATTGGTTGTTAATATCTGTGGTTAAAAAAAAAAAACTACATTGCATTTAAGAAGATTATACCTGGTGTTTATTATAGGCATACAGCATCACGGTTTTTATTTTTTTCCTTGTTATGTGGAATAGCTTTGTTGCAGCTTCTAAATTCCCCCTACCCTGGCCCCAATCCTCATATAACTGTAATTTATATCTCACCTCACTGAGTTCCACATGTGACCAGAATCCTGGTTCTGACAAGCCACAGTCTTCCATTACTCAAGTAAAATGAAAAAAACAGCACTTGCCATTAAACTGGGCATCTAAAGAATCAGCGTCCCCTTGTCATCCTTGTTAACAAGGATGATGTCTCTGTTGCAAACCGAAGCAGCATGTGGGGGTTTGACAGTATTATGAAGCTGGGGATATATCCCATCTCACCATATTACACAGATTACCTGGCTTTTTGGAGCCAAAGGTATGTCTGCTCTCAACCTTTTTCTCTTTTGGGAAATCATTGTTCAGTTTGGTCTATAAGATAATTAACCTTGATATTTGTTTTTGCTTTTTAATGTTTGAAAAACTTTCAAAAGGAGAACACAAGTATTGCAGCCAACCACACAGCTGCCATGCCTCTCTCCCCAAAGAATCAGAAGACTTGTGTTTTATTTCTTTTATTATTAGTGACTAATTCAAAAGTGAAGTTTCCAGAAACCTCAGACCCAATGGGTTCTTTATAAGGTTGATCAATAATTTTAAAGCAGAACAGCAACTTGAAGGACTAACTTACTAAACTATAGGTTTTCTCTTTTATAAAATGGATGGTAGCTGAGCCAATAATACCCTCTCATAATAAGAAGAAAGAATATCTAAAATAATGATGCCCATTTTATGAGTCATAAGTAGAAAATGATCTCTAAGTTTAAACTTGCCTGTGTCTTTGGAGAAATAAAATTTTAAAACTATTTTAAAACTTTGAGAGAACCATAGATTTCTTCATTGCACAATATAGTTCATTGTTAGCAATAAAACACCATTTTCTCTAATGCTTTTGAAATATCTAGCAAGAAAGTAGTGACTTTAATTGCATAGAACTGAAAAGAAGTAAAATAAAGTGATTAACACCTTCAGCTCCAAGTTATATAGACATAGGAGTAAATACTACCTCTACCTATGTATGACTGTGAGTTAGTTATTTAATCTTACTGTGTTTTGGTATCATTGTTTATAAAATGAGAAATATGATAATACTAATCACAGACATTGTTAAAAGAAATAACATGTAAGATATTTAGAGAAGTACCCAGAGTTTTGGAAGCATTCAATAAATGTTATCTGTTCTGTCAGTTAGGACTCATTTATTATAATAGGAAGCCCAATTCAACTAACCTACAGAATAAAAAGAAGGGACTTTTGATACAACTGAGAAGTTTAGCAGTAGAATGAACTTCAGGTATGGTTTGATCAGGACATAATGCTTGTACCCCATGATTCTTTCAGCCCTGTCTGATTTGTGTGTTGATTTTTCCTCAGCTGATTTCTTCCCTCAGGAGAGCAGACAGCCACAGTAGTTTCAAAGCTTAGATTCATGTACCAACCCTTCAGATAGAAAGAGAATGCCTCATGTTCACCAACTACCAAAATATTTTCCAGTTCGTACTCTGTGGGTCAACTGAGGACCTGTGCCCACCCCTAATGTCATGCACTGATTGGCACAGGGAATAGGATTATAATAAATGCATTCTCAGTAAGAGTGATATGGTCCCCAAAAGGCAAAAATAGTTTCCTGAGGGTAGGAGGGAACAAAAAACCTTACTCTTTTTATACATACAACAGATATACAATACATGAAGAGATACATAGTATGTCCGTGGCCTTAGAAGACAGGGTAGGGGAAACTAGCTAACAAAAAATCTGCCCTGGCATGTGTGGCTCAGTGCATTGAGCACTGCCCTGTGAACTGAAAGGTCACCAGTTCAATTCATGGTCAGGGAACATGATTGGGTTGTTGGCCAGGCCCCCAACTTGGGGTGTGCGAGAGGCACGGATCAATGTTTCTCCTTCACATCAATGCCTCTCTCATTCTTTCTCCCTTTCTTCCCTTCTCTCTAAAAATAAATAAATAAAATATTTTTTAAAATCTAAACAGGTTTCTTAAGGGGGTGATAATGAACAAAATACTAATAAACACTGAATTATATTAATTGGTATAGGTATGGAGGAGAAATAGGTATACCTATTTCTGAAGCTGGGAGTGAGGTTGGCCACCAGACCACCACGTAGTAGCCAAACAACAAGAGAGGGTCAATGCTTGGTTGAAATGCAATCAGCAATGTTCACTGCACCTGCATTATTAGACTCTCAAATCTAGAGCTCCTTAAATAAAATAATGAGTTGGTTTTCAAAGTAAGTACAAAAGATTCTTGCATAAATACATTTGTAAGTATTTTGCCACAGTAATGTGAGTTAAGGAGTTTGGGACTCATTATTAGGAAATCCATATTGCTATCCCATCATTATGAATTCTAAACCATAGAAGGTAGTGTTCCATTGGACCACCCAGCGTTCTGGCATATGAACTAGAAACATACACCAGAGACTCACGTATTTTATTGAACCAAGCTTTTTTTATCATCTTGATAATAAAAAGGTGTCATTTTTCTTGCTTCTTGTCTGAATGGTCTTGTTTGTAAGGAAATCCAGACCTCAATCACTCTAGAAAGAAACAAGGGTGGGGGTGGAAATATCCTTTACATTAAATACCTGGCCTTCCCCTGGGGTGTTTTGTTTATTCATATACTATAAGTGATATAAGATCTCCCACCTATTCATAAGGAATTTAGCAACAACCTATTGCCTGACTGGCAGCACCAGGGAGGCATAATTTATTTGAAATGGAACGCTTCCTCCTCTTCTAGATACTGGAGAGGCAGGTGCCTTAATTTGCCAATAACCATGAATAATTAAGATACAAGCTATAAGGCACTTCTGTAGTAATGCAAATAAACGAAAAGCAGGCTGAAGATACACTGAGCTGCCTTTTAACAAATATGTACTTTGTGAGTGAAGCTTTGAATTAGGTTAAAGGTGCCAGTATGGAATATTCACCTTCAATTTTGAGCTAAATGCTAACAATTGATTTGTCAGCCATATAGCTATCCTGCTTATATCTTGCCTGGATGGATTGCATTATAGCTATTAATTAGGTGTTACAAGTTTCTGATAGGAGAATGTTGTTTTAAAAAGAATCAACACTCTTTGCTTCTTATTAAGGGTGACATGTCTGACGAAGCCCTCAGTTGTGACAGGATTAAGTTTTCACTTCCTTCCCAATGTCTCAAAAGTAGAACTTTGTACAAGCCCTGAATGAAGTCATTGCCTCCAGCAGAGGCAACTTGGATAGAGTCCCGGATATTTAAGTGACTGGTAGAGGCTGAGCCCACTCTCCTGAGGTAGGCTGCTGACACTGATGGGGTAGCATGCAATGCAGAACATAGCAGAGACTCCAGACTCAAACTTGAGCAAATTTGACCTTGAGAAAAGTTTGTTCCCTCTTTGAGCCCCATTTCCTCATGGATTAAAGGGAAGAACTGTAATACATGCACTGTGGAATAGGATCAAAAATTCATGAGATAACATGAACAACACTGAGCGCCCTGACTGGTACAAGCAAATGCTCAATAAATGTTGGTCCTTAGTTACATAAAGTACTTAACACCAAGCCCATAGAAAGTACATGATAAAAGGTAGCTAATAGTAATACCCATTACCATTGTTTTCATAGGTAAGAATAGTTCTCTGGACACTGAATTCTCATCTTTACATGTGATGATGTTCAGTAAGAGAAACTATGGAATTTCCACAGCAGTGTATATAAGATGGATCTTGGATATTTGTATTTGTCTTCCATGTAGCAGATCCATATTCTCTTTAAGCCCATTATATAAAATCTAGGAGACCATAGACAGTTTATACTAAGGTGATAATCTCATTATTGCAAGACACTGATGATCCATAAACTTGTAACACCTGAATTTAGCAACCTATCACATTGGATGGGAAAGACCAAGTCTCCCAAAGAGCAACTTCTCACTGAGCATTCAGTGACCTGTGTGCATTTCAAACCATCTACACTTTGTTTGCTCCCACCTTTCACTCTCCACCATCCTATGAATTATAGAGACTAGATGGGGGCTGACAAACTATGACCCACAGGAAAAAACTGACCTACCTTTGTGTTTATAAATAAAGT